TAATCACAATATTCCACAATTAATAACCATACCACCACAAATTCAAAGTAAAATCATCATCGGGACTACCCCTAATCTCGATGCTATTTCTATCAATCTCCACATAACCGAACATCTCCAAATTCATTCTTATATCACAAACTAAACCTTTAAATCCCCGTTAATCATTAACCCTCGGTGTGTGAACAGTACCTCGTGAACAGTACCCGTGAACAGTGCGTGAACAGTGACTGCACCTCCAAAATTGGCCGAACACTAGCTAATTCACAGGATTTTCTCCCTATAAACAACACAGCAACTAAATCAAGAAATTTCTACCTCAACCAAGCTTAAAACGTGTTTTATGCTACCGAAAATCATCCCATAATTCTAGCACAATCTCGGACAACACAAGCAACTAAATGGACAATACTTAATTGATAATTAGACATAAAAAAGGCTGTCCATCATACCAGGAAGCACCGGGTCCGGCTGGGAAGGAAGCCGACGGGGAGAGGAATGGAGGAACTCACGGCAAACCTCAAAATTCAAGAACCCACAACACAATTAGAGTAACCCAACTTGAATTAAGGCTAAAGGGATGATTCTTAGTCATTCCCTTACCAGAAAACCGGGAAGCACTCAATCGGCAAAAGCTGCTCGCAGACGGACAGAGCAGAGCAAAGCAAATCCAAAAATCTGCAGAAGGGAGGGGGATATTTCTAGGTTCAAGAACAAGAAAAGAAGGAGAAAACCCCCAAGCTTTGCCGGATTTCCGGCAGGAAAATGGGTGGCGGTAGTTGGGGGGCTTCTCGGGTGCAGAGGGTCGGGGGGCAGAGCATCGGGGAGAAGAAGAAGATGAGGATGAGCAAAACACGTGGCTGAGGAGAGAAATATCAGCCTTGATCCTTATCCTAATTTCCTTTCTTTTTAGTCCCTCGACTTTTGAAGATTTTACAATTAAGCTTCAAAACAATATTTTTTCTCAAATAAGTCCCCAACCAGATGCTAAAATACCCCCAAAATTTTGGGATATTACATCTATCATTGAACTTAAAAAAGAATTAAAAATGGTCCTTTCAAGGACCATTTTGAAACTTTTTAAAATTTTGAGGGTATATTTGATATAAAGTTAGAAGTTGAGGTACCAAATTAGTATTTTAATCATAACATAATTATATAATAATTCTTAGTGAATCAGGGAAATGCATTATCTTAAGTTGACGGTGAAAAACAAAGTGCATCCTGAAGCATCCATATGTGAAAGTTACATAATGTCTGAATCACAAATTTTATCTCTCATTACTTTGATGATGGAGTATATAGTACAGTTGATAATCCCCCTAGGAATATTGTTGTTGGATTTGGTGATAATAGTGGCCTATCCATCTTTAAATGTGTTGGAAAATGTATTGGTTCCAAAATTGGAAGACGATGCTTGACGGTAGAGGAACGCAAAGTTGCTTCGTATTATGTGTTAATGAATTGCGAAGAATTGTGAGGATGGGTCAAGTAAAAAACCTACACTAAAATCTTTAATTTGTTATATTAAGATTTATTGAAATTAAAATGCTAACAATATATAAAAAACTATTATCATATTTTCTAGTTTATTTGAGAGAGAACAATGTCAAAATATGAATTGTCAACAAATTCAAGCAAAACGAGAGAAAGACCTTGTGCCCTGGTTTGAACAAGCTATGAGTATTTAATAATATGACTATTCAATTCCTTAACATATATATATTATTTCTCTTCAAATGTATCTAACATTTTCTTCTGCAATCTATATATTTTAGGTAATTACTGATGAATTCATTAATATCCATGAGCGTATCAAAGGTTTATCCAACGGTCCAAAAAATTATGTTTCTTGCTATAATGGATATATTGTCAATGGATTCTGATTTCACACTGCCCTCTATGTTAGAAATAAGTGAACAATGAATTATGGTGTCTGTGTTGTCGGATCTATTAGTACTAAATCAAATTATGATTTTTATGGTTTGCTTCAAGAAATAATTCAGATTGGGTATTATGGATCGATCCATCAACAGGCAGTTGTTTTATTCAAATGTGATTGGTACGAGATTCCTCTTGCTCAAAGGGTTCAAGTGAATCAAAAACATCGATTGGTTGACATTAATCCTAGAAGATACCTTCGATCTTATGAGCCTTTCATTCTTTCTAGTCAGGCAAGGCAAGTTTATTACACACCATACCCATCTATTAATCATGAAAGAAGGGGATGGATTGCTGCACTTAAAATTAAAGCTAGGAGTATCATTGAGGCTCCTGAGAATAAAGATGACCAACAAGAAGGATTGACACCATATTTCCAAGATGATGAGCCTTCTATTCCCCAACAAATAAATATTGATGACATTGCTTATGAACCTATGCAATATTCTGATGGGAGGTTTATTGAAATACATGAAGAAGCTGATGTTGGGGAGGGGATTGGGGAAGAGGATGAAGAAGGAGAATGGGAAGATTTTGAGACATTAGAACAAGAAAACATAGAAACATATGTTGAGGAGAATGATAGTGGTGATGAGTATGCAATAATATTGAAACTATTGAAACTTATTGTTATAATTATGGTTACTACTTCCTTGTCTTTACTTTTATAATTATATTAGTTGTATTATATGTTATTTAATTTAAAATTGTATGCCGTTAATATTACTTTTAAGTTAATATTTGCTTATTTATACTTCTATAATTGTATTAGTTGGAATAAAATTTATACATTTATGTTTTTATCATATTATTAATTATA